GAGAGCAGATGGTCAGTTATACTGCGTTGGATGGAATGGAGACGGACAATGCGATGTCCCAACGGATTTGGGACCAGTTGTGGCAGTTTCAGCAGGTACCACTCAAACTTGCGTGGTGAGGTCAGATGGTCAGCTAGTCTGCTTTGAAGAGAATGGCAGTGGACAAGTTGATGTGCCAACGGATATGGGAGCAGTTGTGGCAGTTTCAGCAGGCGACGGTCACACTTGCGCAGTGAGATCGGATGGTCAGTTGGTTTGTTTTGGATGGAACGAACACAGACAATGTGATGTGCCAACGGATTTAGGGCCAGTTGTGGCGTTTTAGGCAGGCGGCGATTACACGTGCGCAGTGAGAGCAGATGGTCAGTTATACTGCTTTGGATGGAACGGAGACGGACAATGCGATGTCCCAACGGATTTGGGACCAGTTGTGGCAGTTTCAGCAGGTACCACTCAAACTTGCGCGGTGAGGTCAGATGGTCAGCTAGTCTGCTTTGAAGAGAATGGCAGTGGACAAGTTGATGTGCCAACGGATATGGGAGCAGTTGTGGCAGTTTCAGCAGGCGACGGTCACACTTGCGCAGTGAGATCGGATGGTCAGCTGATCTGCTTTGGATGGAACGAACACAGACAATGTGATGTGCCACCGGATTTAGGGCCAGTTGTGGCAGTTTCAGCAGGCAGCGGTCACACTTGCGCGGTGAGATCAGATGGTCAGCTAGTCTGCTTTGGATGCAACCAAGATGGACAATGTGATGTGCCAGTGGATCTGGGGCCAGTTGTAGGCGTTTCAGCAGGGTTCGCTCACACTTGCACAGTGAGATCAGGTGGTCAGTTGGTCTGCTTTGGAGGAAACCGCTTTGGACAATGTGAAGTGCCGACGGATTCAGGATCATCTTTGCCGTAGGCATTTAACGACTTTGCGCGCATGCTCTGGCAGATGAAAACCAGGCAAATCATGACAACCCCACCCAAGCCCTCAGGGTCCAAGGACCCAAATAATGGGGTTTCAGGGCCCAGATACCATTAGTATTATAGTGTTTGAGCCCTAAAACCCTATTATTTGGATCCTTGGACCCTTAATTAGGGAAGTATACCCAAATCGTGGTTCGTACGGACAACTCTTTCAAGCCGAGACCAAAACCACACAAAATCCAGCCCCCGAAGCCATTACGGTTTAGGGTTGAGGGTTTAGGGTCGTAAACCTCAATAGCCCCACACCCTCAGGCCGGCAGGAAAGCTGCAGGACTGTGAGATCTAAACCCCTAGCCTCAGGGTTAGGGGACTGATGTTCGGGATCCTGTATACTTTTTTGGGTATGGGATTCCCTATTTTTATGTAAAAAGGATCCTTCTTTCGTCCTAGGGTAATGTGGGCTAAGGTTAGGGGACTATTGAGAGGCTGAGGGCACTTAGTAAGTAGGTTTTGAACGGGGCTATAAGCAGACTAACAGGCGACTTGTAGCCCCATTTATAACCTCGAATGCTAAAATTCAGTTGTAACCTACCGCCGTCACAATGTAGGAATACTCAGGGCAGACGTATGATGTGAAGCGAAGCGATTATGGCGGCAGGGATTAGAAGGTCCATATCGGATATTGTGAACAACAGCGTCTCTTTTTGGCCCCAGCCAAATGTACGAGACTGTTACATTGGCAATTGCATGAATAGTAAGGGGCCGACGATACTTTATGCAACCGTTCTCAGCCACCAGCATCTGAATTTAGGGAGGCCTAAACATCGGTCCAAGTACCTGGACCTAATACTACTTGAACGGGAAAGAATGAAAAATGAAATGTACACTGCTTGTGTTAGAGAGGTTCTCTAAACCTGGGTAAGATGGGGGTTCAGAGCGCTTAGTAAGTAGATTACCCTAAGGGTCCAAGGACCCCAAGAAAAGGGTTTCAGGCCTCAACTACTATAATATCAGTGGTATTTGGGCTCTACAACCCTATCATTTGGGTCCTTGGACCCTTAGGATTATGCATGGGAATGTGGGTCCCCTAATTGAGGTTTGTCCGCTCATACACCTACTGAGTCACCTGGGCCTTCAAGTAAATCCTTTGGGGTCAGTAGCCCCACATTCCACGTCCACAGAAATTAGGGTCGAAAGTCACTTGAGCTACAGTCTAAACTCCTAGTATCCCCCTTAATAACCCCTATAGTAGTCTCCTATATAATCCCCTATATAACCCCCTTTAAGGAGTTTAGACTATGGCTCACTTCAATCTGACGCCCGACTTCCTGAGCTGCGCAAGCAAAAGCCCTAGACCACACGGTTTAGGGTTTAGGGTTTAGGGTTTAGGGTTAACCTAGGCCCTAAACGCTAAAGCCTTTCACCCACAAAGACCTTCAGTTTTTGTGGGCTTCATATACAGGGATTCATACTATAAAGCCCTCAACATGAAAGTTCGTTTGTTTTTTTGTTTTTTTTTTAATGTCCTAAACTCTGACGGTCTTAGGCAAGCCTTAGACTCCCAATAAAGCCTAAACCTTAATGCCTGCTCCCTAAACCTTATTAAGCCCGAGCCAGATTGCCACAAATTCCTCACCAACCGAAAGGGCGCAGGGGCACCTCATAAAGTTATAAAGGTGGACGTCAAAAATGCTAAAATCCTTGTTATGGGGATCCCAACAAGGGACCCTTGATTTCCGGAAACATAAACCCTGTAGACCCGTAAGGGTGCAGGGACCCAAATAATAGGGTTTTAGGCCCAACTTCCATTAATATTGTAGTATTTGAGCCCCAAAACCCCATTATTTGGGCCTCATATGTCCCTACATATCTTCCTATAATTCCCCTTTAAAGGGACCCCTCAGGGGACCCCATATATTAAGTTCTCAAAGACTTCTGCGGCCCGAGGATGCTCCAGAACAAGCTCCCGGAGGACGTTGTCCACAACATCATCCGCGGCGCGGTCGAGGCCGGGTCGAACTAAAGGGGGTCTGGTTTAGGGTTTAGGGTTTAGCATTTAGGGTTTAGGATTTGGGGTTTAGGGTTTAGGGTTTGGGGCCTAAGTATACAAATAATTCCTACATTGGGATCTAAAGTCTACAAATCATACCTATGTTGGGCTATTTGGATCATTTGGGTTTAGCTTATAGGGTTCAGGGTGAAGGGTTTAGGGGCCTCGGGGCTTTTCCCCCCTCCCCCGCCGCAGCTGCTCGCTCATCCAATGTACACAGCGGCCTGCATACACAAGCAGAGACGCCATGTCTGATGAAAACGACATAATGAGGACAACAGCTACCCGAACCCCAAAAGTATGTAAAAAGATCGCCCTACACCCATAACAGCAGCCATAAAGGCCATTATTGTACATACTTTTGAGGGTCCAGGTAGTTACCTTATCTTCCCGGTAAAGAAGACATGTTAAGCAAGTTTCTGTACGTGAATCCCATAACTAGGTGGGTTCAGGGTTTAGGGTTTAGGCACTTTCGGATAATTCATGATATCCCCTATTCCTGCACAAGAAAACCTATTCATAAATCTGTTTTGGGGGTAGAATTCCCCCAGGCTGTATAAGGGAACCTATTCATAAATTGTCTTGGGGACCTTTAATAGAGTATCACCCAGATAAGCATTTACAATACCAGCCTTTGTGACTGTTTTATGCCGGTCGCCCAAACCCTAAACCCTAAGCGTACCCTAGTTCTGGTATCCAGGAATTCGAGATGTGATCATATCAGCTGTGGGTTGAAACGGAGTCACCATTGAGTTTGTTTCTTTATTTGGGGATACTATGGTACCCAATATAGAGTAAGATTCTATCCTCCTCTGGGGGTATAGCATTTTATATAAGGAACGTAATCTTACTGGGTTCACCCTAAACCCTATAAGCCCTAAACCCTACCACCAAAAACAACGCTACTCACTTGAGTTTGTTTCTCTATAACCCTAAGGGTGCAAGGACCCAAATAATAGGGCTTTAGGGCCCAAATACCCTGAATATTATAGTATTTGAGCCCCAAAGCCCTCTTATTTGGGTTCTTGGACCCTTAGGGTAATACTGCGGCTCTCCTAGCTCCCAAGAATCTGGTGATGTCACCTATCTCTGTGGATCGTATCTAATAGCACCAAGCCCGAAACCCTAAACCCTAAACCCCATCTCCAATATAACTCTAATATTACCCTAATATAATCCCTTATAACCCCCATATAACCCCAAGATAGCCCTAATATTGCCCCAATATAATCCCTTATGACCCCCACTTATCCCTAATATAACTTAGGTTGGGCCGCCACCCACTAATAGTGACCACAAGAGGTAATGGTAATTGTATTAAGGTCCTTATATAATCCTAGTACACCACTATTAGTGCATGGGGGCCCAACCCAACATATAACCCTAAACCCTAAATCCTAAAACCTAAACCCTAAACCCTAAAACCCCAAACCCTAAAACCCTAAACCCTAAACCTTAAAACCCTAAACCCTAAACCCTAAACCAATATAACCCTAA